AGCCGCGAATGAGAGGACTCCGCTCCGTCACGACGCGTTGCAGCCGATGCCAGTGCAGTGTCTGCAACGAAAGCGCGACGTGCGCATGCAGCGGCGGAGCGCATGTGCAGCGTAAGAGATGGTGCGAGCGCGGTGGGGGGAATTTCATTCATAAATGCCGAGCCAGAGGCGTCAATGGATGGCCCTGTGAACGAGCGAGACAGCATCCCCACCATTCTCCACGCCGCGTTCCTTTCCCTTTCTTTCTTTCGTTCTTTCGTCATCGTCGCCACCATTTACCACCACCACCGTCATCACCATCACCACCATCATCTCGGATCGGCCGTTGTGTACGTACATAGAGAGAACGCGGCGTGAACAAGCCAGACAGGAATGTTTCACGACGCAGGTGCCTGCCTGCGACGACGTTTTTCGAAAAGAATCTCTGTCTGCCTGCGCGGCACGCTCTCGGCCGGGGACCGACTGCAGGATTTTGTTACCGCGTCCACGTTTTGACGAGCCGGGCCACGATCGGGTCGACAGGTATCGACGCTGCAGGATGCTGCCGAAGATGTTGTCCAAACGGAAGTTTGCTCCGCTGTTTATTTGCACCACCGGCTGCCTTTGGACCTCGTTCAAGGTCCCCGATCCTTCAACATCTCTGGACATTGTATACTTTCGGCTGCAGGTTGTTGGATGAATGAGGTTAGTTGGGCTTTTAGACGATTTCGCTTGGAAAGATGAGAGTTTGTTCTGTTGGATGGGCGTTGAATGGATGAATGGATGAGAAGGTGTAAGTCTCGGATGGTGTCGGGTTACAGATGATTATTACATCCTCGAGTGAAACGTTACAGAGCTGCAATTTTTAAATTGACAAGCATTATTGCGCGTTGATGTGATGTTTTATGCTTTTTTTCTTTCTTTTCTTTTTTAGAAGATTTATGACCTCGTCGACTTTCTCGTCCGATATGAATTCCAGTTTCTGAATTGAAGACAAAAGTCAAGGATCATTAGATTAAAAATTTCGAAATTAAGTAATTTAGTCTTAAATTGTTACATTATGTTCTGTTCTGCGATACCGATTGAGTGTTAATCCTCTAGTGAGTTTTATTCTGAAACTAATAACTATTACGAATGAGTCATCTGGTATTCTTCTAATTGATGAATAAAATTTTCGAAATATAAATATAATGTAACTTTCAAGTTACACGATGTCACAGAGTACTGGAATGTAGTTCCCATCTAGTTACTGTGAGAACGTGTCAAAGTAAATTAAAAGTTCAAATGTCAGACACTTATTTCAGAGGAATTTCCATCTCCGTCTTTTTTTCGCAAAAAAAAAAAAA